TATAGACATGGAGCATCTAGTTTTCTAGCATCTATTTTTATGCCCTTTGTAAATATTTTTTTTTGCTTCACTCTCCCCTGCTACTGATCTGTTGATTTTGCAAGAGTGACTCTATATGTAAATAATTTCTTAGCTTCATAATTGTCCATCTGACTTATGTGACTGACTTACATGACTCAACATTAATTTGTTCTACTTTCATTCATGTTGTGCAGCTGTTCATCAGTTCTCGTTATTCATAATGTGCCATTGTAAGAATCTACCACTGTTTCTTTAACCATTTATCTGTTGATGGGATCTTGGGTTGCTTCTGACTCATTCTTTAGACTGTATACCTAGAAGTGAAATTGCCAGATCAAATGGTATTGTTATTTCCAATTTTCTAAGGAAGCATCAGGCTGCTTTCCACAGTACTTGCACCATTTTACATTGTCAAAAAGTTTGTAAGTTTCAGTGTCTTCACTTTTACCAGTATTTGTTGTTTAAAGTCTTATTGAAGACTGCTATTTGCTGGGACAAGGCAATAACCCTTTGCTGTTTGGATTTGCATCTTTCTAATACCTAGTGATCTCAAACACTTCTTCATATAGAGGGCTTTTTGGCTCTCTAAATGTCTTCTTTGGTGAAATGCCTATTCACGTCCTCTGCCTATCTGGACTGTATGTCTTTTTCCTGCTAAGGCAGTGTGGAAGTCGTGGTATTAACCTCAAGTTGGCTTTCTTATCCATTATCTTAGCCTCTGCTGGTTTCAACTACCTTAACTGCTGACGCATGAACTTGCAAATCAGCATCAGCCGAAGGACTGATATAAGAAAGCATTCTCCACACAGGATGAACAATCACAAAGAAACAGCAGTGCAACTGTGTTTAAGCATTCAGTGGAATCCAGGTGGGCCCACTGCTCACCAGTATCTCTGGGAGGAAACCCCCCCAAAACCAACAGCTTGCGTACCTGCAGTCATGTGAATCATTCCTGAGCCTCTGTAGGACCTTCTAGCAAATCTTTTCATAGAGCCCAAAAGACCATAGAGGAATTGAGGAACTGAGCTATTAATGGAAGCTTTATAACTGGACGAGCACTTATGATTATGCTGATCTGAGGTTTCTGATTCACGGTGTGCTATTAATCTTCGTGCACAGTATAATGAAAACTGGAGTTTTCTTTCTGAGAGACTATAAATTTTTCAATGTTTTGTCAGAAGTCACATCAGTAAAATTTTTTTTCCAATTCAAATTTGTGGTTTTTTTTTTACTCTTCTAGAGAATTCTTCTGATGTACATTGCTGTTGGTGGTTGCCACTGAGATGGGCACGACTCATTGCAACTCCATGAACAAAAGTCCTAATGCCTTTCTGTAAGTTTCTCCAAGTTCATAGTTTCCACAGGCATGTGGTTTAGGAAGGGGATGCCACACATGCTTCCAAACCTGTCTTACAACTAAGAGCTCCACCAAACACTATCCACATTATTAAACCATTATGGTATTTGATACCCAAATGGACCAGGTTTAGCATCAAAGCAAACCCAGATTACCTCAGTACAGCAAATTCACAAGGAATGATGTACAAAGTAGAAGAATGTGCCTCCAAAATACAGCAACACTAGTCTCACTTAGTAGTGGTTAACTGTTGTCAAGTCAAATACATAGCAACCCTATGAACAAAAGACATGAACTCTGTTCTATAATTAACGTCATTTCTTTATGATGTACATAGTTATTTCATTTTTAGGAAGTCTCAATAATTATCTAATTCATCTAATGATTGTTTATCACTTTACATGTGATACTTTATCGAAGCCTTAGCTTAAAGCTCCTATTTATTTCTTTAATGACCTATACAGAGTTTTAGGTTTCACTGAGGACCGTGATCCATCCTGAGTTAGTTTTTTCATATAATAGCTACTATGAATCTTGCTTCAATGTTCTACAGGGAAATATTCAATTTGTCAGCATCATTTGTTAAAGTGACTATCTTTTATCCATTTAATGGATTTCATCTCTTTCTTAAATATCAGTGGTCCATAAGTGGACAGGTTTGTTTCCAAGTTTTCCATTTTATTCCATTGGTCAACATACCTGTTGTAGTACCAGTACCACTGTTTTGATTACCATAGCTCGGTAATTAAGTTTTGAAATCAAGAAATGAGGCCTCATACTCTGTCTGCCTTCCTCAATTATTTCTTTGCTTAATCTTTACACTTTCCTTTTCAGGCTGTGATTATTTTTTCCATATGTTCAAAAAAATGACAGTATTTGGATAAGGTTTGTATAGTTCCTATAGACTGAGTTTAATAATATTACCATTTTTACAATGTTGAGAAGTCTCTCAATCCAAGAATGTGGTATCTTTTCCCATTTACATAAGGCTCTCTGGGGTTCTTTCCATAGTGTTTTATAAGTCAAGTTAAATTTATTCACAAATATTTCATCTTATAAGTGACAGTCATAAAAGGCTGTTCTCCTCAAAGTTCTGTTAACTATTGAGAAATCCAACTGATTTTCATATAATGATCTTGTTCTCTGCCACTTTGCTGATCCATTCAAAGAAATCAAATTATTTCCTTGCTGAGTTTTTTTTTGTTTTCCACACACATGATCACATTATTTGCAAATAAAGATAGTTTTGTCTCCTTGTTGCCAATCTGGATGTTTTTCGTTTCTTTACTTGCCTTATTGTTCTGGCTAGGGACATATATAATAGTATATTGTTGTGTTGTTATTAAGTGCCGTTGAGTGGCACTTATAGCAGTGGTCATAAAGAACTTAGTCTCATTCAAAATCTAAATTCCTTCATTTACACTGACAATAACATTGGCTACTGGTTTTGTATATATGCTTTAACTCTGTTGAGGAATTTTCCTCTACTCCTAGTTTGTTGAGCATCTTCATCAGTAAGGGGTGCTAAATTTTTTCCCTAAACATCTTTATGCATCAATTGAGATGATCATGTGATTCAATCTATTGCTACTGACTGCTCTTCTAATGTAGAACTATCCTTGCATAGCTGGTATGAATCCCTCATGACCATGAAGAATGACTTTTTGTGAATGATGTTTGACTGGCCAAGGCTTTTGCATCTAATTCATGAGAGATATTGTTTTTTAATTTTCTATTTGAGTGCTGTCTTCGCCTAGGGTTATACTTGTTTACAGAATTAGTTTGGGAGTAATCCATCTCTTACTATATTCTGCAACAGTCTGGGTAGAACTAATGTCAATTCATTTCTTTTTAATCTGGTATGCAAATATAAATATAGCTGTCAAAGTAACTAACTAGATTCAAATCTAAAGTGGTAAAAGATACATATTTAGCATAAAGCTACTTTTAATCAAGAACACAGAATTTTCATTTTTTTTTAAATACAATTTCAAAATCTCAAGGGAAGAATGTGATAAATCACTGTAAAACCAAAGCTATTATTATCTTTGTATTACAATCCAAGAAATGTCATATAAAAACCAAAGATATACTCATCTAAATACAATGGAGTCACACCCATGTTTATTGCTACATCATTCACAATAGCAAAGAAATGGAAATAACTGCAGTACTCATCAACGAATGAATGGATAGAAAAACTATGATGTATTCACTCAATGGACTACTATGCAGCACTGAAAAACAATCAACTAATAAAACATTACCCAATATGTAAAACAACATGTAATGCCTGGAAGACATTATACTGAGTGGAATGCCTCAGTCACAAGAGGACAAATACTGCATAACACTGCTATTATAAAATAGGACTGACGGGTTTGGGGGATGAGAGGTTGGGGAGAGAATAAGAAAAGAAAACACTGCATTTGAACAGATGAAAGGAAGTCTGAAAGCAATATATGATTAGGCATTATATGTATGACAATCATCTAGAACAAGAGGCGCACTGCAAAGTGGAGGGGAGGGGAAGGAAAGAGAAGAAAATGTGCAACAATGAATATATAAAAGAAAACTACAATGTAGTATACAGGTTTCGATTTGGGGAGCCAAAAAAGAATACTATTAGACAAACTTTATTTGGTTAATTGTACTAATGCTAATTTCATAGTTTAGGCAAATGCAGTATGGCAATATAGATGAAGGGAATATTAGGAACTTTGTATTACCTTTGTAATTCTTCTGCAACATGAAAACTATTTCTAACAGTAGACCATTAGGAAAGAACCATGCCTATAGCAAATTCTAACAAATGGTAGCTAGTATAATTATTATTATTGTTGTTCTAAAATGGCTTGTTTAAACTGGAAGCAAAATATATACTGACTTACCATATTTATTCTCAAAAAAGGACTGTGCAGAAACATAAGATGTATGCCAATGGGAAGAAATTTTTTTGCCTTTAAAAAGTCCTGGAAGTAAACAGTCCACGAGTTGATCAAGCTGTCCAATTTTTAATTCTGATAATCCAAGGTCCTTTAAGTTAAGTACAGGCTGCAAGATGACATAAAACATGTAATTAAATTATCATGCTATTTTACTTTTTAAAAAAAACCCATTAAAATATTTTTATACCTCTAGTTTTACAGAAAACAGTTACATGAATAAAGGAGAAAAATTACTACAAATTAGTGCTTTTGACTCACAGCGACCCTCTACACAACAGCCCTTTGGAGAGGTCCCTAACAGCAGACTTTCCCATAGCAATACGTGTTTTAATTTCCTGGCTGCGGGTGCAAAGAGTGTTGATTGTGGAGCCAAGCAAACTAAAGCTGTGAACAACCTCAATCTCTTCAACATCCATCCTGATGCTACCAATTGGTCCATTGGTGAGAATCTTTGTTTTCTTGATGTTGAGTCTCATTTATATTGAAGGCTGCAGTCCTTGACCCTCTGCAGCAAGCACTTCAGTTTCTCCTCAGCAAGCAGGGTTGTGTCATCTGCATAACACAGATTGTTAATGGATCTTCCACCAACCCTGATGCCATACTTCTCCTCATAGAGCCCAGCCTTCCGGATAATCTGCTCTGCATACAGGGTGACAAGGTATGGAGATAGGACACATCCCTGACGTACACCCTTCCCAATTTTGAACTATGCAGTGTTTTCTTGCTCTGTTCTGATGACAGCCTCCTGGTCCAAGTACAGGTTTCGCATTAGCACGATCAAGTGTTCTGGGATTCCCATTATTCTCAGTCAGCCACAGTTTGTTATGATCCACACAGTCAAACCCCTTTGCATAATCAATGATACACAGACAAGACATCCCTCTGGTATTCCCTGCTTTCAGCCAAGATCCCTCTAACATTAGCTACAATATCCCTAGTAACATAACCCTTCTAAACCAGTCTGGACTTCTGGCAGTTCTCTGCTGATGTGCTGTTCCAGTTGTTTTTGGATAATCTTCAGTAAAATCTTGCCTGCATGTGAAATCCATGATACTGTTCTATAATTTCCACACTCTGTTGGTTCACCCTTCCTTGGAATGGGAACTAATATAAGATCTCTTCCAGTCAGTTGGCCAAGTTCATATGGTATCCTTAAAATAAAGAGTTGATGCATTTAAGAATGCATGTATGGAGAAAAAGGGTACACTTTTAGGCAAACCTAAACCACTGAGCTTTTAATAATGCCCTGGTAGTATATTGGTTGACTGCCAATATTGAGCTTCTAACGATTTCTTTCACAATTGTAGTGAATTTGATTCCTACTCAGTCCCTCAGGTGAGAATGATGTGTAAAGTTTTAATTTTTGTCTTTTAAAAAAGGTATTTGCCATGAATAAAGCATTTTAAATACAAAATTCAGTCATTCTCTTTCAAGTCTCATTTTTATCAGCAAGCTCATATTTTCCAACTATTATCCTTTCTTCACTATTTCCCAATTTTGCAGTCCAGTCACCAATTACCATTAACACATCCTAATTGCATGTTCTGTCAACTTCAGACTGCAAGATTTGTCTCAGAAAGGGTGGAGCCAGAGTGCCACTTAGAAGCAAGGAGTGATGAAACTTCACTTCACATACTTTGGGCATATTCCTTGGAGAGGAACATGATGCTAGGAAGGGTGGAGGGTTGGCAAAGAGGAAGACCCTCAACAAGGTGGAATGACATGGTGACTGCTGCAATGGGCTCTTATGTGTCGAGAAGTGTGAAGATGGCATAGAAGAGGATTCAGATCTTTCGTTCATAGGGTATGAGTCCTAACTCAATGTACCTAACAATAGTATAGTGGTTAAGTGTGTATCTACTAATAGAGAAGCTAGCAGTTAAGCACTTTCATTCATGAAAATCAAGTGAAATGCATTGTATTCCCCTGTCTTGTCTTGATATAAAATAGTGTAATTTAAAGTTAGTCTACCAGTGTCAATGAAACATAAGTACTTGCCAAGTTTAAAGTGTATAAGAGGACTCTTTCCTCTCACATTGTGGGCATGATCTGAGGTCAAGAGATAGGATGCTGAGGCTGGATAAGGCCATTCAAGTGATAATCCTCACTAGTTCACAGAAATTTAAAGCTTATTCTGTTCCCGATTTACATAAACAAAACCCCAGCTGAGAAAGAAAGGGTATGCTCTACTATGCCAAGATATCTCATCCCTCTGCTTCATTACTAAAGTCCTTCCTTGATGAAAATGTTTTAAAGTTATTCCCATATAACTTTAAACAAAGGAAGAATACAGACTTCAATATGAATTACATCTCAACATCAACAAAACGAAATTGTCACCACCAGGCCAAAATGAGCTATGGCCAAATTGTGAAGAGCCTTATTTAAATTTAATTAAAATTTCTTATTTTAGACACTTTTAAGTTTTCTTTTATAACAAGATAATTCTTTATGGTACTGACTTTGTATATTCCTTTCATCTTCTTTCCATGCTTCCTACAACATTCAAGATTTTGCCCTTCACTATTGGCAATTCAAGGCTTGATTTAATTCTTCAGTTCTTCCAGCTTGAGAAATGCAGAGAGTGTTCTTTTTGGTTTGCTAACTCCAGCTCTCTGCACTTTTTGTTATAATACTTTGTCTTCTCAAGCAGCCCTCTGCAATTTTTTGTTAGGCTCACTTAATTGTAGCATTTCTTGCCTGTTTTGGCTTGTCTACATTTTAAAGGAAATTTCAAAAGTCTCTTCTGACATCTATTTTAGTTTTTTTCTCTCTTTTCTGTTTTTGTAATGATCATTCATGTTCTTATTTTGCAAATAATTGATAAATATTTTATCTTCAATCTTCATTGTTCAGATAATTGTAAATTCTTTATCCTGCTTGGATCTACACTGATCTAGGAGCTAGGTATAATCTACAATTTAAAAAAAACATTAAAATCTGAAGGTAATTGTTTTGGACATCTCAAATCAAGTTCCTGGAAACAAATCCAGATGGATATGTTTAACAAATTATTAGATGAAACAGTTTACAACATAAAGAGATTAGGGGTTGGAGATTTAGATTTGAGGTAAAGATGTATTGTGACATGAAAATAACCTAGAAAAAATGTACAAAATGAAAATGAAATCCAGATCAACTGGCATAACAGTATACAAAGACAACGTTTGGGTAAGTGGTGACTTTTGAGGAGCTATTTAAGGTCAACTGTTGGTCTCTCCCTGCTTGGAACAAAGTGGGAAGAAAAACAAACTTTTTACACTAACACACCACACAAACCTTAACTTCAATGACTCCAAGACCAGAATTACTTGCTTGTCTACCAAGACCTGTAACCTGTCACTGCTCACCCCCTCTAAATGTAATCAGGGTAGAAGGAAAATCCTGAAGAGAGTTGGATAAAATACGGAGCAAAACTAAAGAAATAAAAGGGCAGGTTTACTGACTCAATAGAGACTGGTCAAAAGTCTTGACTTTACTTTTAGTAACTGAAGTGGTTGTTTTTCCCCTCCAACAACCCTAGAACAAAAGCCCCATAGCTCAACTCTCAAACAACAGACATTCCTAAATAAATTGACACAAGACAGGTCAGGGTTAGATCTATTGCTCTAGGGTCACTATGACTTGATGGCACCTAACAACAACTACAGGTAAATATTAACACCAAGAAAAGCTCTGACTTCTTAGAATAGCCAATCATTTATGGTCAAAAGAGCAGAATTTACCCAAACGTAAAGTTCAGAAGTCAGGATAGAAGGATTAATGAAACTGATAATCACAGAGAGAAGTACAAAGTATTGTACTTAATGAGTATTGTAATTAACATTATAAAACAAAACATGTATGAATAGCGGGATGAAAAACCATTCAAAAGACAAAAGCAAAATTAGATTAAAAATACATGACAATAAATTCCATAATTAACAGATTAATTGCTGTGATGCTGAACACTGTCACACTGATGTGTCATATGTGATAATGGTTACCCATTACAGACAGTGTTTGTTAGGGCTTCCAGATTAAAACAAGCCTGGAAGCTGGAGCGGCACCCACTTCCAAAATGGGTTGCCTCCAGAAACTCTATGAACAGTGCTCAGGCCTTCCATTCACAGGGTCGCTATGAGTCGTCTACAACTCAATGGCACCTAACACCACCACCACCACAACAACAGATTGGCAAATATAAAAGCCAACAAAACAAAAATTGGGAATATATCTGAGAGTAACATTGCATAATTAAACAGAGTGTTCTGAACGTAATAGCCATGTTGTTGTTGTTTGGTGCCATAGGAAGTATTTTAAAATAAGTTTAATATCAAAACTAAAAAGCTTTTTCTTTTGCACTCAGAAAACTACCACTGACTTTAACGAAATAAATCTGTAAAATCAAAAAAGCATTAGCCAAGTCCAGATCTCTAGTCCCGTGACTGCCTACCTCCAGCATTGTCGCAAATACCCAGTGCCCAGAACACCAGCCCTGGTACCTGCACCCTATGCCTGGAACCCTGACCCCGACGTCCCATGCCCTGAACTCTCGTCCCGACACCCCGTTCCTGGAGCTCCAGTCCTGACGCCAATGCCCATGCTGAGAGTGATGTTGGAGATTGAGCGACGTAGTTTGTGGCGGGACACTGCTGTTGGCTGGAGCACATGGGACCCTTCAAGTTCAATCAAAAGAGAACGAGACAGCTGGAGCTCATTTTTAAATGGAAAACCAAGGCCTTCTGGTCTCTGCGCTCCACCTTGAGTCCAGTCTATCAACTGCCTTTAGCCCAGAACATCTTGGGTTACCCTAGATGTGGCAGTTGTCTGACAGGAGGCTACTTCCACCGGACTTTTCTCTACCGAACTGAAGGATATTTGCCTTGGGTCAGAGGGCAGAGAGAAACTCAGGCAGGGTAGCTGCCACACAGTCTTCTGGAGCAATGACTTCAGATCAAAAACCTGCTATCAGGGAAGCCACAGACTGAGAAAAAGCATTTGGGAATGACATGTCAGATAAGGGACTTATAGCTAGAATTTATAAAATACTTAAGTACCACAACAAGATAAAGGTAAATAATCCAATTAAAAAATAGGCACAGGATATGAACAGACACTTCACAA